TATTAAATGATAAAAAAATTGCTTTTTTTTTTTTTTTTGCCAAAAAATTCACAAAGATATAAAGCCCCAATTTGGTTCGGCTAAAAATTAAATTTCAGTAAAATTTTTAAAAAATTGATGAAATGTGTGATTGAAAATGATTTTTTTTTTTTAATTGAGGTTAAAGAGGGGCAAAAAATGCTCTTCAGATGGAGATGATGATGCTGAATGAAATTTGTTCTGGTTAGCTTGGAGTAGAATGTGTGAACCAAACGGGGCATGTGGATCGGGGTTTAAGAGTCTTGAACTTTTAATATGGCCCTATTAGCCAAACAGGCTTGGTGGTTAGTGTTTCGCGCGGGTTAATTCGCTAACAATTAAAGAGGATCAGACGATTGTGTAAGGGACGAAACCTCTTGAGACAAAGTCCCAAAAAGGGGTGTTCTTTTATTGGCGATGAACTTTACAATTGGAAACGAAAAACAACGTGCCTCCAAGGGACGCAAGCACACGAGTTACAGAAAGGAAAGTGTTTAAGTCTAAAAGCTAAAAAAATGAAAATTACATATTCTCTGTTCGAGAGTTTTGGATTCGGTCCCTTGCTTCTATGCCCTTTCTCCCTTTTATTCTTCATAGGCGATCCCTTTGTAATTAACTGCTCTAAAAACCTGCTTGATCGCCCTATAACTGCCCACTTTCTTTGTAGTGACCATTTTGTCATGAAACTGTCCTTTTAACTGCTGCCATTATCTTGCATCGTTCAACCGCTTTCGATTGAACCCCTTGAGTCGTGGAACGTGGTAAGGTTACTTTAGCAACTGCCTCAATAACTGCATTTCTTGATAATCATAATGCGTTATGTTTGTTGATACCTTGGGCGACTTGAAGATTTGGGCGAGACTCTGGGCGACCGTATGCCACTCTATTCGTTCAGACTCTGAGCGACTTGCAAACTTGGGCGATGGCATTACCGCACTATTGGGCCCCTTATTTGGGCCTTCACCTTGATTCGTTCAATTGGATTTCGTTCTTTGGGCTATCTGATTTGAGGATCCACCAATTGGGCTTTACTCTCTGGGCTGTTTGATTTGGGCTGAATTTTTATGTGTCAACGATTAATTCGCTAACAATTAAAGAGGATCAGACGATTGTGTAAGGGACGAAACCTCTTGAGACAAAGTCCCAAAAAGGGGTGTTCTTTTATTGGCGATGAACTTTACAATTGGAAACGAAAAACAACGTGCCTCCAAGGGGCGCAAGCACACGAGTTATAGAAAGGAAAGTGTTTAAATCTAAAAGCTAAAAAAATGTTTTGTCATGAAACTGTCCTTTTAACTACTGCCATTATCTTGCATCGTTCAACCGCTTTTGATTGAACCCCTTGAGTTGTGGAACGTGGTAAGGTTACTTTAGCAACTGCCTCAATAACTGCATTTCTTGATAATCATAATGCGTTATGTTTGTTGATACTTTGGGCGACTTGAAGATTTGGGCGAGACTCTGGGCGACCGTATGCCACTCTATTCGTTCAGACTCTGAGCGACTTGCAAACTTGGGCGATGGTGTTACCGCACTATTGGGCCCCTTATTTGGGCCTTCACCTTGATTCGTTCAATTGGATTTCGTTCTTTGGGCTATTTGATTTGGGGATCCTCCAATTGGGCTTTACTCTCTGGGCTGTTTGATTTGGGCTGAATTTTTATGTGTCAACAATTACCCCCCAATATGGCAGAATTAATAATAATTATTGAATTTTGCCATATTCACTTCACGTCTCCAGCAACGTTCGCGATTCCCAAAGAATTTCAATCATTGTTTCCCTCTATAATTTGAAAAGGTGCGTCGCTTTGCAAACCCTTATAAACTCCAAACACGCCATTTTACTGCTACCAAATCACGTTTCATATTTCTTGCGCATCCTTCATGATTCACTTTCATCTTTTGCTTCCTTGTTACGTAACTCTGAAAAGCTTCGTTCCTTCTTCAATGGCTGCTTCACAATCTCAAGCTAGTGTCTCCTTTAGTTTTGATGACTTTCAGAAACTTCTGAGTCGTCCATACGTAAACCCAAGTTTTCTCGCGCCCGCCGATGTTGGACGTAATGAGTTTTACTTGGGTCCTTTCTTCAACAATGCGGAGGCAGTTGAATAGGCGACGGTGGGTCAGCTGTTTCCTTGCACTCATGGCCCTCCTTTTCTGAATTCTTTGCCGCTGGGGCCACTTCGTGAAAGAGGTATTCGCACTTGGCCCAAATCTGACGTAGCTTTTCGTAGGTGGTATGCTCGTCTTGTGGGTCATGGTCCTACTAAGGCACTTTTTGATAGCGCTAGGATTTCTGATTTGTTGGAAGTCTCTATTCGCCCCCCTACTTTTGATTCAGCGCTCTTTTCGATTGCTCTGAGCTTTTGGTCCTCTGAGTATAACACCTTTATTTTTCATCTTGGCCCCATGTCTATTACGTTAAGGGATGTTGAGGCCCTAGTAAATTTACCACCTTTGGGCGATACCATTTTCCCAGGCATCTTAGTTTCTGGTGGCGCTCCACAGTTCGGTAAAAACTATACCGATTCTTATTCAAGCCTGCAGACACTCCACAATCATTCGAGTGCTGAGCCTACTCATGCTGAGCGAGTGGCCTTCCTTTTAGTTTGGCTTTGTAAATATGTGTTGTACGTGCCTAGTATAAAGCCCTCTCTGAGTTATCTACCCATAGCGCACGAACTGGCGCGTGGCAGGCCTTTGAATTTATGTTCTTTGTTTTTGGCTGCCCTCTATAGAGGCATGGCTTTTCTTCAGGCTCAATTGAAGAATGGTGCATCTCCTACTGGCAGTGGACCTCTTTGGTTCACTTAACTGTGGTTGAGATCCTATTTTCCATCGCTTGGTGCTCCATCCATTTCTCGTCCTTCTGCTAGCTGTTACGGGCTAGCTATGGAGCCCTTAACTCCTGTAAGTATGTCCAGCAGGGACATTTTTTCATTCTTTTATTCTTTAGATTCAATCTCTTCCTTCTTTCCTTTTCCTCCTTTTTTGACTCCGGACTATGCACATCCTCCTTCCA